GTAAGTCAACTCCTTGAGTAAGTTAACTACTATTCTTTAGGCTGTATTTTACCATCTTTGTGATTAACTTTGAGAAGACCGAGGCCATAATTACAGATCTGATTTATCTGCTCCCAAAGTAACTCTATTTCTTTATGAGGAACAGATTAGGAAGGATCTCTTATTTTAGTTATCTTTTTTTTTTTAATTGGGGGGGGTGAACAAGTCAAGCCGGGAGGAAGGTCAGAGAAAGAGAGGGAGAAGCAGACTCTGCTGAGCAGGGAGCCCGATGGGGGGCTTGATCCCAAGACCCTGAGATCACGACCTGAGCCGAAGGCAGACATTTAACCGAATGAGCCACCCAAGCACCCCTAGTAATATTTGAACTTACATGATTTTAAGCTGTAACTGCTCAGTCACTTTTAAAGACTAAAAGAGCTCTGGCCGAGGAGAAGAGAGAAAAAAGCAAATTCTTAAAGTTCTCAGTAAAACACAGAACTATCAAAATTCAGTATAATTCACCATGTGTGTAAAATACTACTAACTGTAGGACTACATTAATCACAGCACTGTTTGCGTAGCAAATTTTGGAGACAATCTAAAAGTCAGCAATAAGCAATCAGTTAAATTAAGGTCGAATAGCACAGTTTCACAAAGAACCCCTCTAAAAAAATGAGTCACCTCAAAGATAAAATGGAGGAGGAGATTAAGGTATCTGCATTGGGAGGAGGGGACTAGGCCTAATACATACATGCTAAATCTCTCTGGTCTTTCTGGAAGAATACACAATAAAAATAATGATTGTCTGGCAGGCACCTGGAATGCTGAAGGGCAGATGAGAGAGTAACTTTCTCTATGTACCCAGTAGAACCTTTCAAATGCTGTACTCAGGTACTTCCTATTAGACAAAATAAAAAACTGATTTATTTTTTAGCGACTTAGAGATTAACTTCTAGCTCAGAAATTAACTTTTAGCTCAATGATTTAGACAGAATCTACTAAGCAATAACAATGTCAAATTATGATATAGAATAACTCTGCTAAAAACTTTCTTCCAGAGATTGAAGCACACTCATTCATTCATTATTTCAGTGCCCATTACATCCTCTGGGTATTAGAGCAATGCCCAAGTCATATAAGAATCCCTGCTTTTGTGGAGCTTTAGTAGGAGCAGAGATAAAGAGTAAATAATGTAACTTCAAATACTTTTAAATGCTACAGAAAGAAGAGGAGGAAATATGGGAATGAAGAAGAACTATAAGGGAGGGGAAGAGGAAAACTGTTTTGGGATAATTAAGGTAGACTTCTCTGAGGATGACGTGTGAGCCAAGAACTGAACAATATGCCAAAACAAGCAATGTAGTAAACAGAAGGAAAGCCCTGTCACTGGAACAAACTTAGCCTCTTATTCTTCAGACAGAGCAAAGCAACAATGTGGTTGCAGAAGAGTGACCCAAGGACAGACATGCAGGAGATGACCACAGAGGCAAGCAGATGCAAGGAAGGCCTTGTAACTACAGGAGAAAAAGTCAAGATTGTATTCTAAGTGTGATGGAGAACCTTTGTACAGTTCTGAGAATGGGAGTGACTTGATCTGTATTTTTAAAAAGTAACACTAGCTGCTGCTTAGGAGCAGCTGTATTAGGAGACTGCTGTATTAGGAGACTAATACAGTAGGCTAGGCAACAAATGATGGAACTGAAGAGTGGTTTCAGAGAGATAGGTAAATGTCGCTGATTAAGGATATATTTTGAAAGCTGACGCCCTAGGGGATTTGCTAGTGGATTGTATATGGGAATCTGAGTGAGACAGTAAATGAGTGAATAGAAATTCAAAAAAATCATTTTATATTTGTATAGTTATTCATAGTTATCAAAGTATATTTACATACATTGTCATTTCATAACAAGAAGCAGGGAAAGGTCACACCTGGCCAAGATCTGAGTTCTGTCCCTTGCCAGTTTTAAGAACTTAGGAAAGTCATCTGAATGGGTTTCTAGACTATGTAAGGTAGTCTACTTCACAAGATCAAGAGCTACAAGTATCAAATGATGTAAGACTTTCATAAAGGCAGGAGCACCTGGCTGGCTCTGTCGGTGGAGTATGCAATTCTTGATGTCGGGGTTGTGGATTCAAGTCCCACACTGGGTGTAGAGATTACTTAAAAATAAAACCTTGGGCGCCTGGGTGGCTCAGTGGGTTAAAGCCTCTGCCTTTGGCTCAGGTCATGATCCCAGGGTCCTGGGATCAAGCCCCCCATTGGGCTCTCTGCTCAGCAGGGAGTCTGCTTCCTCCTCTCTCTCTGCCTGCCTCTCTGCCTACTTGTGATCTCTCTCTGTGTCAAATAAAATAAAACTGTTAAAAAAAATAAAAATAAAACCTTAAGGGGCGCCTGCGTGGCTCGGTGGGTTGGTTAAGCGTCTGCCTTCAGCTCAGGTCATGATCTCAGGGTCCTGGGATCAAGGCTCAGGTTGGGCTCTCTGCACAGCAGGGAGCCTGCTTCCCCCTCTCTCTGCCTGCCTCTCCGCCTACTTGTGATCTCTGTTGAATAAATAAAAATCTTTAAAAAATAAAAATAAATAAAGCCTTAAAAATTTTTTCTGCAAATGCAAATAATGACCAGTTGGCAGTGAACAGCATCCTATCAATAGCTGTCCAATGAAAGAGGTGTGTTCGTTCAATTCAGGACAGCACAGCTGCCTACCCAGCACCACCACCACCACCTATTCCACATGGAATTGCAGATGACAAAAAAGAGGCAAATCTTAAAAAAATTTTGATTAAAAAACAAACATTTCGGGTGGGTTGCTCAGTCAGTTGAACGTCCAACTCTTGGTTTCGGCTCAGGTGATCTTTTGGGTCTTAGGAACCAGCCCAGCCTGGGACTCCCTACTCAGTGGGGAAACTGCCTGAGAGTCTCTCCCTCTGCCCCTCCCCATCCCCACTCAATCCACACACATTCTCTCAAATAAATAATCTTTAAAAAAAATTTTTTTTCACTGATTATGGGAAAATATACATAATTCAAGAATAGCACTAGAAAACACATTATAGTCTTGTAATCTTTCCTAGGGACTAGAGAAAACAGTTAACTTAAGTATAAACATTAAAATAAAACCACCTAACTTTTCCAAGATAAAACCCAAATGAAGTCACCTTTTTATCAAAGAAGTGCTATCAACAATATACTGTAAAATTAAGACCATATTTACAAATTACCACTGTCTTGGTTAAAATACTAAAATGAAATACCTAGTGTAAACTAAATTGTGTGCCAAAACTGAATTATGAGGACTTCACTGCCATAAAACATTTCTGTAACAGAAATTAAACAAAGTTTCACAGGATTATTTGTTCATCCAAGGCTTTCATATTACTGCAGATTATGTCCAGAATCAAGCAAAACTGTAAAAAATGTTAAACCTATTTCATTACGTATTTTGGAGAATTATTAAGAATGTCAATTTGTATTATGTGGTCAATAAATAACCTGAATACAGGAAGCAAAAATTTGAAGACATCTGGTGTACATCTAGAGCCCCCATGTCTCATTTTCAACTGAGGCTTCAATAAACATGACTGGGGTCATATGAGGAAAACCACATTGTGAAGACCATTCAACGCATACAGCAATTTAACTGCCTTGGACAAAGTCTGAGACAAATCCTTAATACAATAAATTTTGCGCTATGAAAGTTCACATTAGACTGCAGCACGCAATGACAATCTACGCTACTTCTCTAATTTCTAAGAATTTCTACCTTATAAAACGTCTTATTTCTCCAAGTCAAGCACTCTAGGTCAGAGACATCTGCCCAACTCAGGTATATGTAAGTTGCAGAAAGCACGGCACAATACATCACCCATTAAAAGACCTTGGACTTTTATGCATCTCCCCCCAAACTTTAGAACAAGCTAGATTAAATACACGTTCACCAGGTTATATCAAGGAAATGATACTGCAATTTAGTCACTTTAACTCGCTTATTAAGCAACATAGAGGTTCAACTAAAATCTTCATTAAAAACGACAAGAAATTTCAAGGTTCTGTTTTTATGTACTCCAAGAAATACCGCACGTCTGAGGACCTGATATTACATAAAGAATTTACAAAACCAGTACGTCCATTTTTCATAGTTCCACATATATTTGCCAAAGTATAGTATTCATAAAGAGCCGAGAACAGTTTAAACATTAAAGTGCATAAAATCGAGAAGCAAAGTATTTCACCAAGTCCCCCTAACACGCTCTGCCGCTCCCCCAATGTTGTGTTAAACTATTTCTTGAGCAGAAACCGCTCTCAAAGAGTTTGCCAACCAGAGTAAAATCACTTCACACAGATAACGAGCGGAAACCTATTTAGAAGAGAGGAGATCACGAAAGCGAAGGCAGCAGGGAGCGCAGCCCCACGTCTCCGGACCCCGGCAGCCTGCGGCGAACATGTGCCTACGGCGGCAGGACGCGCGGCCCTCCCGGAGCCGCCTCCCGGGGCTCAGGGCCCCGCCCGGCCTCACTCTCCTGGTTCATTCATTCTGAACCCGGGGATTCCGCACCCCCGCGCTCACGCCCGGCCCGAGAGGAGGCTCCAGGGCCGAGGACCTACGACGGGCCACAACTCCCGCCCGGAGTCCGGGCCCCGCCGCGATTTGCGCGCGCCCGCGGCCTCCTCCCGGGTGGTCTGAGGCCGCGGAGGCCCGCGCGGGCCCGCGCCCAAGACTAAAGCCCCGCAACCCCGCGGCCCCACCCTCCTCCAGGGTGCAAGCTAGGCCTTCCCCGCCCGCCGGGCGGCCAACGGGAAGCCCCCGGTCCCCGCCGCCCCGTTGCCCCACCGCGGCCGGAAGTCTCTCCGGAGCCCCCTCCCCAGAGCCTACTTCCCTAGCCGACACGGCCAGACCCTCTCCGCGCTGGTCTGGGGCCTCCCAGCGCGGGCCGCAGGCCTGAGGAAGCGAGGAGCCGCGCCGCCGGGTCCACCGAGCGGTCAAGAGCAGAGCGCAGAGCCGGGGGTTGGCCTGGGCGGTTACCTTGATAATCCTGCGGGGCAGCCCGGCCATCTTGTCAGATCCCGAGTTCGGCCTCTGGTCTCGACTCTGGCTCCGCTCGCCTCACGCACGAGTGGAAGTCCAGGGCTCCACTTCCGGGGGACGTTGCCGCGCCCGCCGCCGCCGCCGCCGAGGCCCCTTGGGAAATGTAGTCCCTGCTCGTGCGCGGGCTTCTCTAGGACCTGGCCCCCTCCCCCTCCCCCGCCCCAGCCCCGGCCTGGGGTTGGCGGAAGTGACGAGCCCCAGCGGGGCAGGGACTTGGGGGAGGAGGCGCGAGGCGGCGCGGAGCTCTGGCGCTCGTGGCCGAGCCCGCCGCGCGACGGTGGGATTACGCGGCCGGCGCCCCACAGGCCTTTTACCGTGGCCACGCCTGCGCCAGTGGGCGACGTAACAGAGGCTCAGCGGCGGGCGCAGCCCATTCATTCATGCGTTCGTTTGTTCGTTCATTCAACGTTTCTACGTTGCGCGCGGGCCACAGCGGGGAACGACTCCGGTTAAGTGGAGCCGGGGCTCCTTCCTCAAAGGGAGGTGAAAGACTGAAACTCAGTAGCCATAGTCCTGAATGCGGATCTCGGAACTTATCCAGGGAAACCCTAGTCATAGAGTTATGATATTTAAATTTTGATTTTTAAATATCATGTAAATCGGGCTCCTTAAGCCCAGAGAAGGCTGAGAGAAAGGATCTGGAGAGAGTTGGGAGGCAGGGAATTGGCTTCTGAACGCAGAGCTGCTAGCTAGAGGAATGACCGAGGACAGGATTAGAAAGCCCAGAGAAATCCCTGAGAGAGGGATTACCCATGGCACGCAGGGCCCTAAAAGAAGATTAGAGTGGCGGTGCTTGAAAATGGGATTGTTGGAGAAGCATTTTGTCACATTTGTCACTGCTTGCTTGCTCTGGGATAGGCTTTTCGCAGGCATTATTTTATTTCATAGCAATCTTAAGAAGGTATCTCTACAAATGATGCTCAGAAATGCCAACTAGCTTTTTCCAGGATTATCCAGGAGAAAATGGAGCTGTTTTGACCCCGAGGAAGTCTCTCAAAACATGGACCCCTTAACTGCTTAACCACAGTGTTTCCTAGCAGAGGACACATAGTAGATTGAGTAAGGATGTGCCAGGTGCTGTGTTGGTGGGTGAGAATGCAGAGACAACACTGACTGCTTTCCAGTCCAACAGAGAAGAGAGACAACGAATTAATTAATTAATTAATTAACCCAGTGTGTTAAGGGCTGTAGTAGAGGTTCCTCCAAGGCGCTTTTGGAGCCCAGAGCCCAGGCATTAGTTGATTGAGAAGTCAGAAAAGTCCTTCCCAAAGGAGAAGAGTTGCCCTCAAGGATTAATAAGACTCTAACTGACCTGGTAGGGAAGAGCATGTCAGATACAGGAAATAGCCCATAAAATGGCATTGGACTACAAGAAAAAAAGAAAAATTATGTGTCTCTCTCTCTCTCTCTCTATATATATATATAGTATCTGTATATATATGTATGTATGTGTCTATGTATGTATATTGTGTCTGTGTGTGTATATATGTGTGTGTGTATATTTGTATACACATTGCATTAAAGAAATGGAGACTATGAATGCAAGAAACATAATAAAAATAATAAGAATTATTTTGTGCTTGGCACAATGCTAAATGATTACATGGATTGTCTCCACTAACTATAAAGCTCATGAGGTAAGTTCTCTTACTACCAGTGCTTTTGAGATGAGAAACCAAGCCTCAGAGGTAATAATGAGAACCTCACATAACCAAGAGTCTGAAATAAGTGGCTCCGTGATTAGAAGAATCTGAGAAAATAAATGACATTGGACAAGGACGCTTTCAGAATATTTTCCAGGAGAATTCACCCTAATAAGAAGAAAGGCAGAGTAACTATTAGGTTAAAAGTGTGCTATTGTTGCCTAACAAACCAGCTCGTACTGTTTAAAGCAACAACAGTCAGTTACTGAGCTCTTGAATCTTCAGTTTGGGCAGGGCTTGGCAGGAAGGCACATCTTTGCTCCGTGCTGTGTTGTGTCAGCCTGGACAGCCTGACTGGGCCCCGATCCACTTCCAAGATGGCTCACATAGCTGGCGAAGCTGGTGCTGGCTATTAGTCTCTCTCTTAGTGGGCCTCTCCCTGGAGCAGCTTTGGCTTTCTCTCCACCTGGTGGTTGGGTTCCAAGAGTGAGTGAGTGTTCTAGCTAGCAAAACCAGAAGCTGAATGGTCTTTTTGACCTAACCCTGGAAGTCACATAGCATCACTCCCACTATAATCTATTGGTTGACTAATCACAAAAACCCACCCAGTTTCAAAGGTATGGGGCATGGAATCCGCCTCTTGAAAGGGGAGTGGAGAGATTCTAGAAACTAGCATAGTTTGTGTGTGATGGAAGATACGGTTGTGGCCAACTTTGGAAAACAAGCTGTGACAGGTACGACATTTGTCACTATGCTTACAGCCAACTGGCTTAGTGTCCCCTGCCTGTGACTCTTAAGCACTGGTTAAAATAAACATGCCTGGCTGGAGTCCTTCTCTCAGAGATTTTCTCTAAGTCAGTGCCAAGGCCTGGGAGTCTGCATTAAAATATGTGTACTTTTGATGGATCCTAAAATTTGAGAACAAAGATTTTGAGTAAACAATGATGTATTTTTAAAAATTGTTGCCAAATGCCTTCTCTTGGCTCTTCTCTATTAGGATAGATGGGTATCATGCAAATTAAGAGTGAGGGAGCCCTAGTCTAGGTTTGAGAACTTAAACATTTGCTGTCCTTCATTTTCTTCACCTATGAAATGTATATACTTCATGTGATTGTTGTGAAGTTTAAATGAACACCACATAGCACTTAGCACGGACTATTATTTTCATAATCTTCATAGAACCAGGTATAGTTTTCCTTAGGAAACCAGATTTTCAAAACATGACAGTATAACTTTGGTGGAGACTATTTGAAGGCATGAAACACTCAAGAATATTAATGATAAAATATATTTTTGCAAGTCTCTTCTAGTTGTTTTTCCCATTCTTTTCCCCCTTGAGAACAACTCACACTATACTCATCTGGAAAACAAAATCCGAACTTCTGATTCATGTAAGTTCTGTAGAACAGGATATCATCTTAGAAGGACAGGTTGCCACAGGATCAAGATGAAGACTATTCTTAAGTTAGAAATCTAGTTAAGAATCCTTACTCTAGGGGCACCTGGGTGGCTCAATGGGTTAAGCCTCTGCCTTCGGCTCAGGTCATGGTCTCAGGGTCCTGGGATCGAGCCCTGCATCGGACTCTACGCTCAGCAGGGAGCCTGCTTTCCCCTCTCTCTCTCTGCCTGCCTCTCTGCATACTTGTAATCTCTATCAAATAAATAAATAAAATCTTTAAAAAAAAAAAGAATCCTTACTCTAGGGATGCCTGGGTGGCTCAGTCGTTAAGCATCTGTCTGCTTTGGGCTCAGGTCATGGTCGCAGAGTCTTGGGATGGAGCCCCACGTGGGCTCCCTGATCGGTAGGAACCCTGCTTCTCCCTCTCCCACTCTCCCTGCTTGTGTTCCCTCTCTGTGTCTCTCTCTGTCAAATAAATAAATAAATTTATTATTTATTATAATAAATAATATTTATTTATTATAATAAATTAATTATTTATTTAAATAAAATAAATAAATCTTTATTCTTTTATTTTTTATTTTTATTTTTTTATTTAAAAAAAAAGATTGCAGGAGGCTATTTTTTAAAAAAAGAATTCTTACTCTAAAATATGGATTAAAAAAAAGGAAACCCACCAAACTCATTGAATCGATTCCCTCAGGGAGGGGTGTTGGGTATTGGAGAACAGAGGTAAAAGAAAGACATTTCACTCACACTCTTGTACCTGTTAGATTTTGGACTATGTGAATGCATTACCTATTTAAAACATTAAATAATCTAATTCACTAATTTCAATAGCCTTAAGAAATTCTTAAAGTTCTTTCAATGCTGATCAAGGATAATACTACACACTCAAAACTCAGCAAGAAGATGCTGGTCCATGATATCGAATAAATGATAGTGACCAGATAGCACTATTAAGTTGAATAGTGCTAGGCAGAATTCTTAGCTAATTGATATTTGGCTTTTTGTCAGGCCTCACAACTATGTTTTTGTTTTTTCCCAGTCTCTGCTCCTTCCAGAATTCAAACTGCAAGTGCCTTTCCATTATGATATAGGGAGGGAATCAGCAAGAATCTGTGCTGGAGGAATTAGAAGAATTCTATTCCACAACAAGCTCTTACTCCCAGAACACTAGTTTATTTCATCTTGTTCCTTCCCTACCCCCAACCTCATCCCCAAATATTCCAGGTTTGTTACTGTGATCTTAAACTAGCAGATTCATAAGTACTATTTACCCTGCAGGTAATATCTTGGGACATTCATACCTGAGCTCCTCCACATTATGGATGTCTTCCATTTTGGTCCCCAGGGTACTCCTGAGGCCTAGCTCAGGGCCTGCTCTATGATAGTTCTCAAAAAAATATTTGTCAAGGGAATGAGCCCATAACTGCAGGGGAAAAATAAACACCTCTTTGAGAATAGATTACATAGGTTCACAATCGGTAAGTGAATGCTTACAGAAACCAAAGGATGTTCACGTTCATCCCTAAACGTCTCAACTTCCTGAAGGGCAACTGTTTTTTTTTTCAGCAACTGTCTTGTGCTTTGCAAAGACAAAATAGAGTAGATGAGTTTGGAAAATCCTGGCTCAGTCATCTCAAAGAGAGGCCCTGTTTCAATTCAGGCGGGTAGTCATGCGGCAGAACTATTTGTTTGCAAGTACCCTTATTGTTTCTTGCAGCATAAGAAAACCGTTTCGTGGGCGATCAAGACAGGATTATCTGTGAGAAGAGAGTTCATGAACACTGACTCAGGGAGGAAGTGGGTAGGGGAAGAAGAAAAGGCGCACGCTGATTTAAAAGAAGAAAGGAGGGGTGCCTGGGTGGATCAGTCGGTTAAGCGTCTGCCTTTGACTCAGGGCATAATCCCAGGGACCTGAGCCCCAGGTCAGGATCCTGGGGTCCTGGGATTGAGCCCTGCGTCAGGCTTTCTGCTCAATGTGGAGCCTGCTTCTCCTC